CCAGCTGGCAGGTCGTCTGGGAAAATCTTGGGGTATTTCTTAATCAGGTCTGCTCAATCCACCAACACAGGGTGATCAGCTGTTTCGTCCCCCTTATTCGTCCGGGTCTGGTCGATTGCAGCAATCGGGATCACGACCTAGTGGGGACTATGTGGCTTGGGCAAATAAGCCTACCCATTAGTAAGGGGCCCGGTACTTACTGACGCGACCCATTTCCCGGTCGCTCCTCCGGCTTCTTCCCCATAGAATTCTGGAGGGCTATGAATTCTTGGCAATTGCGTCGGATGTGACCCGACCGGCCACAGTGGTAGCATAGCCCGTATTTCGCGGAGCAACTGCGTAAATATCCAGTGCATCCACCCCTTTTATCGTGGCGCGCTGGTACTATTCTTGAGGGCGGCCTCTGTCCTAGAAGTTCGTCCTTGGCTTCATGAGCGAATCAACGGCTTCGGCAAGCTGGATGTAGTCTTGTAACCGCTTCGCAGGGCGTTGCAGTTTTATCTGGTCCTGTATTTTAGGCTTCCACCTGCCCATGTATCTGTCGACCTTTTCCAACTCGTGCATGTAGCCACATCTGTCCACCAACATCAAGAATGACACAGATCCCAACTGCTTTCACATGCGTAGAGTCTCGCGTGCCTTGTCTGAGTTAGGAGCATGCTCAAACCTCTTGCGAAGCTCTGTGCACCACGTTGCCACGTGCGAATGTGGGTCGCACCGAACAACAAATATGCTCTTCTTCATAGCCAAATTCTTCGGACCACTCGTGCTGTCCTTCTGTGAGAGTTGCCGTTGAGTCGACGATGACCTTCCACCACTGTAGGGCGGCCCCTTGCAACAGTGTTAACGCGTGGCTGATTCGCTTCTGATCGCCTCAGTTGCCCGCCGCATTAAAATATATATTAAAGGCAAATATCCACTGCCGCACTGTCACGCCTTTATTAGCTGGGACGAAAGGAGCGGGTTGCTGATATCTCACGCCGCCACTTGTCGAGTGCGGGGCTGTTGCTGCTAGTCGTGCCAGATCCACTGGCGACGGTTGCTGCTCACCCACCTCGCCTTGTGCATCGTTGCTCGACTCCTCTGAACGCCTCTCCTGCACCTGGCGAAGTCGTTGGTTCTCGTCGCGGAGGTTGTTGACGACGCTTGTCAAATTATTCAACTTCTCCATTAATGCTTGCATGTCCACAGTTTCCTGGGCAGTGTTTGCAGCAATCGAGGTGGACTGTTCCTCAACCGTTGAATCTACCAAGGCCATGGCGGTCAGGACAGGGCAGAAGCTAGTGCACACGCTGTAGTTGTTGACGTAAAAATATTTACGATCGAGGACAACTACTGTGCAGCTGTGCTAATCCCCTCTGACCACCCTTCTAATTAAGCGGGGAAACGGAAGGCTCCTGGAAAGCTCGGGCTCTGATACCAGCTATATTGATATAGGAAGTATCAATGTACTATAATATGAGAATCCAAGGTCACCATTGCAATGAAAGGCACGAGGTTATATAGGGGTTTGCGTACTAGAGAGATAACTTCAGAACGTGGGTAGGTTTAGTAATGTGGCGACAGTGCCGGACGCGACTCGGGAAAGGGTTGGGCCGACAAGTGAAGCCGAACGTGACGAGTCGAGGAGTTCGGGTGTATGCGCTAGCGTACGACGCAGTAAGGAATGGAAATTCCTTACACAGCCAATGAAAAGAGTCGCGCCCACCATGTGAAACATTCGTATACCGAGCGACCAGACGACCTGCCCGCAGGACTTCCGCCGAGCCGACCAGAAGACCATCGCATCGAGCTGGAACTAGGCGTACAATCGACAGTGCAGCGACAATTTCGGCTCAGTCAACCGGAACTGGAAGAATTGCAGCAGCACATGGATTATCTACTAACAAAGGGTTTTACCCCTCCCAGCACGTCCCCATACACCGCCCCGATACTGTTCACACCGAAGAAGAATGGAAGACACCGCATGTGCATCGACTTCCGCGCACTCAACAGGATCACAATCAAGTCGCGTTACCGGATCCCGCGAGTTGACAGCCTACTCGACCAACTTCGCGGAGCCAAGTTCTTCTAAAAAATCGACTTGCGATGAGGTTACCATCAGATTCGCGTCGCCGCCGAAGATTGTCACAAAACCGCCTTTCGAACCCGCTACGGCAGCTACGAATACCTGGTGATGCCTTTTGGCCTCACGAACGCGCCCTTGACTTTTCGGATGACCATGAATGGCGTTTTCAGGGAACTTCTGGATAAATGCGTTATTATCTACCTCGACGACATACTAATCTACAGCCGCAGCAGGGAGCAGCACTTAAAGGATCTTGATGCAGTCTTCAAGCTGCTGCACAAGAATCGCCTCATCTCGAAAGGGTCTAAGTGCGACTTTCTTAAGCAGGAGTTGGAGTTTTTGGGCCGCGTCATTTCTACCGAAGGAGTAAAAATCGACCCCAAGAAAATCAAGACCATACAGGGGTGGAAGCCGCCAACCAACATCAAGGAGCTGCAGAGTTTTTTGGGTTTCGTCAACTACGTCCGCCGCTTTATCCCCAACATGGCTAGGTTATCTGCCCCGCTAACCGAGCGACTGAAAGATCACGATTGTTTTCGTGGGGAGAGAAGCAGCAAGCTACATTCGACCAACTGAAGATCGCCCTCACGTCGCCGCCCGTCCTTCGCATCTCCGATCCTGACCGTCCATACGAAGTCATCACCGATGCCAGCGACATCGCCATCGGCGCAGTTCTCGTACAGGATTTCGGCGACGGGTTACAGCCAGTCGCCTACGAATCATAGAAGCTGCAGGGCGCAGAAAAAAACTATGCAGTCCACGACAAGGAAATGTTGGCGATCGTCCACGCGTTCAAGATTTGGGGATGCTACCTGACAGGCGCTGTCGTCACGGTGCGGACCGACCAGAAATCCTTATAGTACCTGCGAGCCCAACCGAATCTGAACCCGCGACAGATCCGTTGGCTCGATTTCCTCAAGTCGAACTTCCACTACACCATCACCTACAAACGTGGCGCCAACAATATTGCCGCGGGACTTACTTCGTACCCTGCTAATACAAGAATCCTACGACAACCCGCCCTCCGGGCATTTCTGTGTCGACAAAACTCTGAAGACGTTGCAGCGAAAATATTATTGGCCGAACATGGCCGACGACGTGCGCAAGTACGTGTCCTCCTGCACCGCCTGCCAAATCATGAAATCTTCCCATCAGCGAGCAGCGGGACTACTACAGCCGTTGGATCCGCCCGAGCGATCCTGGCAACACGTCATGATGGACTACGTGACAAGACGGCCGGCCGGTCCCAGCGGAAACGACGCCATCCTCGTGGTCGTTGACCGACTCACGAAAATGGCACACTTCATCGCCTGCCAACAGACAATTACAGCTGAGCAAACTACCCAACTGTTCATCGCCAACGTCATTCAACTGCACGGACTGCCTACCGCAATTATTTCAGACCGAGACCCGAAATTCACATCGAATTTCTGGCGCCACCTATGGGACCAGTTCGGCACCAAACTGCAATTTTCCTCTGCCTACCACCCACAGATTGACGGGCAGACCGAACGGGTCAACCAAACTATGGAACAACTCATTCGGACTATCTGTACTGACCCACAAACATGGGAGAAATCCCTTCCGCTGCTCGAGTTTGCATATAATAACGCGCCCTCCGCCACCACCCATCAGTCCCCATTTTTCTCAACTACGGACAGCCTCTTAAGGCCCTACGTCCCCAGTTCGTCCGAATTGGTACGACAACGCGGTGTACCGCAGCTGACGCCCCTGCAGGAATTGATGACCGAGCCCTTGAAAATCCTGGGCCATCGTGTGACGACGCAGCTGAACCGTCGGATGATCGATTTTCTCGTCCGCTGGCGCGATCGCACGTCCGAAGATGACAGCTGGGTGCCGCTCGCTGAGCTAGAATCACATCCGATTCTAGCTGCGTATTATCAGCGTCGGAATGTTTCTGATGCCCGCGGTCTCGTTTAGAGGGGGGGGGGGGGGGGGGGGGGGGGGGGGTAGTGTAAGGAATTTCCATTCCTTAATGTGTCGTACGCTAGCGCGTACACCCGAACTCCTCGACTCGTCACGTTCGGCCTCATTTATCGGCCCAACCCTTCCCCGAGTCGCGTACGGCACTGTCGCCACATTGCCGAAGCTACCCACGTTCCGAGGTTATCGCCCTAGTCCGCCAACCCCTATATAACGTTGTGCCTTCATTGCAATAGCGACCGTGTATTCTCACGTTATAGTAGATTGACACTTCCTATATCATAACAGGCCGGGTGCGTACATGGTTTTTGCACCTACGGAATAAATTGCACCTGCGAAAATTTTGCGCTAGTCGTCGTTGCACCAATCGCATATGACTTGTATTTGGTTAGGTCAAAAGGTGCTGTTGGGTCACATCGTTCAACCCATGACACACCCTCGCGCCGCCCTTTTGTGTCCTGCTACTGACGTGGAAGAAAGTTCCAAGGACGCGGTCACAAACGTACTCGGAGGTTCGTTACAGTTTTCGTCACGACCCGGAATCATCACGTTCAGGAGGTTCACATGGTAAGGGGAATCTGATCCACGGACGGTTCAAGGAAACGACTATCGTCGACACCAAGCAGCTGGTTACCCTGTCTCTCCCTGCGAAGCGCTAAACTCTGATCGTAACACAAACCACGGCGAGGCCAACCAGGCTGGGACGCGGTCGGCACGCGAACACTCCCTTCCCGCCAGCCACCACGGCGAACCAGCTTCCGTGCTGGTGCATGCGCCTGGCCCGGAAGAGTAATCCCCACGGTTCCCCCTGCCGCCGTACGGTACTCTGCGCTTCCCCGCATTCTGTCCTGTCCCTTCCTGCTCCCCCCCGCCCGCCCCTCTCCGCCAGAGCGGTGGCGCAGTTGTGACAACTCCCACAACCATGCTGCTGCGCACCCCCTGTCCAACAACTGCCCCAGTTCCAACACTTCCCCCTTTCGATAGTTGTCTGTCTCGCTCCCTCCGCCTTGGCCTACGCTCACTGACTGACCTCGAGCTTGCTTTCATCTCACGCACAGTCGCCATCTCCCTGCCCCCTTTCCGCCGTCCCTCACGGCTGTCTGCTCAGTTCTCGTTTTAGGCTGCATCACTTGTTCGCTAGCGTGCTGTGACCAGGAGAGAAAAAGGGTTGCTGGCAAGTCGCGTTGCGAGCCGATTTTCTCCGCGTAGTCTAGTCCTGCCATTTCCTTGCGACCACTGACGCTGTTTCCTGCGCTTGAGTGCCGGGTAAAGGTTTAATTCCGCCTCCGTCTATGTTACCAGAACCGCTGCGATCGTCTCAGGTTCTCTCCGTATTAGGTTTTGTTTAGTGTTTCTTTCTAACCCCCGGATCGCCGCCGATCGTCACAGCCTCTCGCGGCATGGTGAAAGAGACGGAATACTACGACCTATTAGGAATCAAGCCCGAGGCCATCGCGTCGGATATTAAAAAGGCGTACTATATACAGGTCCGTGAGCTGATCCCATCCGCCTGACCCCATGTGCTTGAGCGCTCACCGCCACATCAACCACCCCCGAATGCCTGATTCCTTTCACAAACGCGCACCGACGCGCACGACGCGCACATGATAGATCGCGCACCCTAAGCGGTCCGGGCGCCCCGACTAATGCTCGTTCGTTCACTCGTCTTGCTCGATTGCTCGTTTGCTCGTCTGTTGCTTGCTCGCTCTCCAGGCCCGGAAAGTCCATCCCGACAAGAACCCAAACGATCCCGATGCTGCCGCTAAGTTCCAGGTGCGCTGCTCGCTCGCCCATGCCCACCCCGCCCCGCCCATGTCCTCCACGCCTCGCCCACGTCTCGCCCATGCCTCGCGCATGCCTGGCGCATGCCTCGTGCATGCCTTCCTGTTCGCATCCGACGCTGGCGTTTCACTTATAATAGTTCTGTCATACAGTGAAGTGTGCATTCATGCGCTCATGCGCTCATTTGATCCATTGAGCATCGAGCTCTCCGTTGTGCTCTTCTCCAGAACTCCTTCCCTCATAAGTGAGTCGCCACAGCCCGTAGTTCTTCCCCTGCCCCCTACCCCCTCCGCCTCCGCCTCCCCCTCCGCCTCCCCCTCGTCTCCCCCCCGCCCCTACCCCATCCGACCCCCCTCCCCCCCTACCCTCCCCCTCCTCCCCCCCCCCCCGCTCCGCGCGGCTTTGCTTTGTCCTCGTACCGTCCCGCGTCCTACTCGTCCTTCCTTTCCCCGATCAGCTCCCGTCACCGCAATCCCCCAGCGGTCTGGACTACCTCCCGTCTTTCTGCTTCCTCCTTCAACCGCCACCCCTCTCCTTCTTCTCCCCTCCCTCATCGCACGCCCGCCATACTTATCTCCGCCGTGCGCACTCAACCCGCCTCAGAATCCACTCCTAACCCTGCAATCCCGCCAATCCCCGCAACAACCCCCCCCCCCCTCCCCCTTCCCCTCCCCCCCTCCTTGCCCCCCAAAATTCGCGCAACCCGCGCCGTCCCCGCAGCTGCTGGGCGAGGCGTACCAGGTGCTGAGCGACCCGGGGCAGCGCGAGCGGTATGACGCGTGCGGCAAGGCGGGCGTGTCCACGTGAGTCGCGGGGGCCAGGCGCAGCTGGTTGGCGAGGGGGAGGGGGGAATGGTTGGGGCGGGAGGGGGGGGGATGGATTGTTGGGGCGAGGCGAGGGGGGACTGGGGAGAGGCGAGGGGGGGAAGAAACAGATAGGGTTACGTTTCGTTGGAATTTGGGATCGTGGGGGAAAGACATGGGTGATTGGGACGGGGGAAGAGGGTAGGGAGGGCGTGGACTCTCCACTTGCCTCGGATCAACCTCTTGCCGACTCCTCGCTCACGTTCTTCCCCTCGTTTCAATCATCTCGCCAATGTCGCCGCCTTGCCCTCTTTGTTTTTGTTTTTGTTCTTGTTTTTTGTTTTTTTTCCCTCCATTCCGCCCCTCCCGTTTGTCGAACTACGGCATGCCATGCCACGCCACGCCACGTCGCGCCACGTCACGCCACGTCACGCCACGCCCATTTGCAAGGTGCGCATCCCCTCTTTCCCCCCCAACCTCCACCCGCCCCGTCCAGCGAGGCGATGGTGGATCCAGCGGCCACGTTCGGCATGCTGTTCGGCAGCGAGGCGTTTGAGGACTGTGGGGCAGCTCGCCATGGCATGGCCACACTCATCCCCCCCCTCCCCCCCCTCCCCCCCTCCCCCCGCTCCCTCCGCTCCTCCTCTCCCCCCCGCATTGTCCTCCAATCTCAATACCTCCTGCGCAGCGAGGCGATGGTGGATCCAGCGGCCATGTTCGGCATGCTTTTTGGCAGCGAGGCGTTCGAGGACTACGTGGGGCAGCTCGCCATGGCCACCGTCGCCGGGCTCGCTGCCGACGCGCCCAACGCCTCTGCCTCCTCCTCCGCCGCTGGCGCGGACAGTAGCGCGGGAGGGGGGGGCGGGGGGGGGAGTGGTGGTGCGGAGATGGCCAATGGGGGGGCGGACGGGGGCGTTGATACCCTGGAGCTGCAAGCTAAACTCAAGGTTGGACGGGGGGAGAGGGGGTGGGGGGGATGGGGGAGAGTGAGGAGGTTGGGGATAGGATAGGAGGGGTGGGTGACGGGGTGGGGCGGGGAGGGGGGAGTGGGGAAGAGGGGAGGGTTGGGAGGAGGGCGAGTGTGGAGCGAGAGGAAGGGGCGAGGAGGCATGGGCGGATGAAATGGATGTGGGTTGCGTCCTTTAGCAGGTTCCTTGAGTGGGTTGGTTTAGTCGGTTGTTTGGTAGCAGCACAGGCAGGGGAGGGTGCAGTGGGGACGGATGGGGAGTAAATGGCATGGCAGTGTGGGATGACTGGTTGCTTGGGACGGTCGTGGGGATGCTGACTGCCGCTGCTGACTGCCGCTGCTGACTGCTGCTGCTGACTGCTGCTGCTGACTGCTGCCGCTGCGGCTGCTGACCGCTGCTGACCGCTGCTGACCGCTGCTGACCGCTGCTGTGCTGCTCAGATAAAGTTTCCAGTCAGCAGGGGCAGGTGGGGGGTGGGTGGGGGGGCAGTAGATGAGCGGGGGTGGTGAGGAAAGGGGATGAGCACTGGCAGAGTGTTGGGGCAAACTGCGGTGATGTTGAGCATGTGATATCACACGTTATGCCTGTTCTTTTCTTGGTTTTGGGCTGCTCTCCTCTTCCCCTTGCCAATGTCAACCCCCTCCCCCCCCCCCTTTCCCCGCCCTTCCCCCCCGCCCTTCTCTCCCCCCACTCTCCATCCCTCTTTTGACTGCTTGGTGCGGCGCAGGCGGCGCAAGACCAGCGCATAGGCGAGCTGGTGGAGAAGCTTAAAACGAGGCTGCACCTGTACACGGCGAGCGGCAAGGAGGAGTTTGTGCAGTGGGCGGAGGAGGAGGCGGAGCGCCTCTCACAGACCGGTGAGACACGCTTGCATTGGGTCTGGTGTGGGCACGTGCATGGGGGTCAGGTGTGGGCTCATGCATGCGGTTCGGTTGTGAGCGCATGCGTGGTGGTCAGTTGTGCGCGCATGCGTGGGGGTCAGGTGTGCATGTGCATGGGCTAACTGCACACACGCATAAGATCTTCGCCTCTGCATCGTGTGTCCCTCCTCCACTCCTCTCCAACCATTCGCCACCTTCTCCTTCGTCCCTGCCATCCCTGCCATCCCTGCCATCCCTGCCATCCCTGCCATCCCTGCCATCCCTGCCATCCCTGCCATCCCTGCCATCCCTGCCATCCCTCCCATCCCTGCCCATCTCAAACGCTCTCAGCGTTCGGCGAGCACATGGTGCACAGCATCGGATACATCTACTAGCGGAGGACAACAGCATATGGTGCCACAACTACCAACGTTTCCCTTCCCCCTCCGGCCCTCTTCTCCCCCCCCCCCCCCCCCCCCCTTTTAACCCCTTCGCCCCCAGCGTTCGGCGAGCACATGGTGCACAGCATCGAGTACAACTACCAGCGGGCGGCAGCAGATGCTGCCACATCCACCAACGCGTCCCCCCCCCCCTTCCCTCTCCCACCCCTCCTGTCAACCCCCCTTTGCTAAACCCCGAACATCCTCCAGCCTTTGGCGAGCACATGCTGCACAGCATCGGGTACATCTACCAGCGGGCGGCGGCGAAGCAGCTGGGCAAGAACCCGCTGCTGCTGGGCGTGCCGTTCGTGGGCGAGTGGTTCCGGGAGAGGGGCCACCGCTTCTCCACTCAAGTCAGCGCCGCCGTCGGTGAGTGCGGCTGGGCGCTGGTTGGAGTGAGTGCGGGGGTTGGTGTGCATATGAGTCAACTTAAAAGTCACAGTGGTTTGGGGAGAGGGGCCACCACTTCTCCACTCAAGTCAGCGCCGCCGTCAGTGAGTGCGGGGCGTGGGTGAGTGTCGGTCGGTGAGTGTGGCTGGGCGCTGGTTGGGGTGAGTGCGGATGGGTGCTGCCGTCCGTTGGTGAGTGAGGTCGCTGGTTTGCGTGTGTGTGAGTCAACTCAAAAGTCACCGTGTTTTTGACAGAGCAGCCACCGCTTCTCCACTCAAGTCAGCGCTGCCGTTGGTGAGTGTCGGGGCTGGTGGCGTGGGTAAGTGTGGGTGCTGCGGTGCGCCGGTGGGTGAGCGTGGGTGCTGCGGTCGGTGACTGTGGGTGCTGCCGCTGTTGTAGCCAGGCGCACCAGGACATGTGGCGTGCGGTGAATGTCAGTACCTTCACGAGGAGTCTATTTTTGAGGCGCCTCAAGAATGTCAGTACCTTCACGAGGAGTCTATTTTTGAGGCGCCTCAAGAATGTCAGTACCTTCACGAGTTAACCCATCTCACTCTACTCCCCACCTCGTCCCCTCTCCTCCCCTCCCCCCCCCCCCACATCCCCCTTCCCCTTCCTCCGCCGTCTTCCCCACAGGCGTGCTGCAGCTGTACCAGGCGCACCAGGACATGAGGCGCAAGGTGGAGGAGGAGCAGATGGATGAGGAGGCCATGGCCGCGTTCCTGGAGAGTCGCCAGCAGTCGCTGCTGGAGTCGCTGTGGAAGCTCAATGTGATCGACATCGAGGGCACGCTCTCCTCCGTCTGCCAGCAGGTGGGATCGTTTGAGATGGCTTGTAGTAGCGCTAAAAATCCCTTGCAGAGCCGGCATGAATCTCTGAGCCGGCAGCACTCTCTGAGCCGGCAGCAATCGCTGAGCCGGCAGCATTCGCTGTGGAAGCTCAACGTGTTTGACATCTAGGGCATGCTCTCCTCTGTCCGTGGTGGCATTGGAATGGATGGACTCGAGTGGAATGTCACTCGAATGTCGAACAGGCAGGCTTCACCCTGCTCTGCTCCTCATGTGCACCTCCCATCATCAATGTTGTGCAAGGTTAACACTCCCCCCCCCCCTCCCCCCTCAGCCCCCCTTCCCCCCACCCCACCCCACCCCACCCCACCCACCCCACCCGCCTCCTCCCCTCGGCTCTGGCTTGGTGGCGATTTTGGTTTCAGGGTTTGCGTTGCAAACCAAACTGCTCAAGCTCCCACCTCCTTGCCACCCCCTTTCAAACTCGCTCCCTCCTCCCACTCTTCCGCGCGTTTCCGCCTGCTCCTGCTCTCCATCCCCACCGCCCTCTCTCCCCCGTTGTTGGCTGTGTGCGTGGCCAGGTGTTGGTGGAGGCAGGTGAGAAGAAGTCCAAGCTAGAGCCCCGGGCCAGGGCGCTCAAGAAGCTAGGGCAGATCTTCTACGTGAGTGGGGCGAGCTGTCTGTGTGAGTTGTGCAAGGGCGCACTGGTCATGTAAGTTGTGCAAGGGCGCAATCATCTCTCCTTAGCTTTGTGCAGTTTTTTCAAATACTATTTTCCCCCCTCCCCTGAATTTTGGGTTCCCATGCTCCTGCGCATTCCGTTTTTTTTTTTTTTTTTTCCTCGTCGTCATGTGTGTGTGTGCGCGTGTGTGTGTGTGTGTGTGTGTGCGCGCGCGCGCGCGCGCGCGCAATTGCGTGCTTGCGTGCACCTGGGCCTGGGCCTGTCGGTGTATTATGTGTGGTGCACGTGTGTGCATGTGCTTGCGTTTGCATGCATGCGCGTGCATTTGCGTGCATGTGTGTGCATGTTTGGTGCATGTGTGTGCGTGTCTGCGCATGTGTTATGCATGTGTTTTCCTGTGTTATGCATGTCTGTGCATGTGTCATGCATGTGTGTTCCTGTGTTATGCATGTGTGTGCCTGTGTTATGCATGTGTGTGCATGTGTTATGCATGTGTGCTCCTGTGTTATGCATGTATGTGCATGTGTTATGCATGTGTGCTCCTGTGCTATGCATGTATGTGCATGTGTTATGCATGTGTGTTCCTGTGTTATGCATGTGTGTTCCTGTGTTATGCATTTGTGTGCCTGTGCTCTGCATGTGTGTGCATGTGTTATTCATGTGTGTTCCTGTGTTATGCATGTGTGTGCCTGTGTTATGGATGTGTGTGCCTGTGTTATGCATTTGTGTGCCTGTGTGCATGCAGAAAAAGGCAGTGCAGCTGAGGGCCAATTCTCGCAGTGCTGCTCTGGCTGCTAGAGCCACCTCCGGCTCACGATCAGCCTCACACCGCCACTCTGAGGTCTCTGCACCTCTCTGCATCTCTCTGCACCAGCCTCGTCGTCCTCTCCTGCCCTCCCTCCTCTCTCTCCATCCCTTGTCTACATTAGCCCCTCATTGTTTCTCCCTGACTACCTCATCTGCTGTTCGTTTTTCCTCCTATCATATCCTCATCCACATCCGCCTCCCCTCTTCCCTCCCCTCTCCGCTTTCCTCTTCCCCCAATCTCTCCTCCATCTCCTCTTTCTCCTCTCTCCTCTCGACCTTGCCCTGCAGAGTTGGTCCGGTGATCCTTCGCAAGCAGCAGGCACTTCAAGCGCAGAGGGTGACATGCCGCCTCCACCACCGGCACCCAACCCCACTAGTCGTGGAGACCTGGAGAAGATGTCAGTGGGTGATTTGAAGAGGTTCATCACAGGCAAGGGAGGGGAGGTGCGTGGGCTGTTGGAGAAACAAGACCTGATTGACGCTGCTACTGCGCTTCTCTGACCATTGTATTATTAGTTCCACTATTGGCTCTGCAGAAGCTCTTTTGTAGAATGCTTTTGGTGTTCTTGATGAGTCTTAGTGATGCTTTAGCAAATATGCATGCTAATAGACGTTATAATTGGGATAAGGTCTGTTCAGAGGATTTGGCCTCTTTCCAGGACCAACTCCCTTAAGTAGAAATCAATGGCAAGGATATTGAAGTGTCTTGATTGAATGTCTAGAAGAGGAAGTTTTACTAAGGTCAGCGTGCATGCGCCAGAATCACAATGTACACAAGAGTGTATAATTATTTCGTGCGTCCACGAGGTACAAGTGCGAACAGTGTGAAGAAGTCTCCAAACTTTTACTGCAGTGCAGGTCTCTGCTGGGCGGGCGTATTCTGCAGCTGGTGGCAGACATGCGGTGGAGCTTATGACACGGAAAATTCTGCTCGTGGGGCAAATTTGAAGGTGTGTTTGCCTTTCCTAGGGATCTACGACACAGGGAGGCCGCCCTCGTGCCCAGCACGAGCTGCGGAATCCGCCCTGAAGCTTAGGAACGATGCACGTATGCACGCAAATAGGGGCATGCACGTATGTATGTAACGCGACGTGACGGAGCATGTGTAAGCGGGCGTGTGTATACGCGAAAGGGCGAGAACGAGAGAAGAGGAGAAAGGGATGAGCAAGGGATGAGTAAGGGGGTGGGGGTGGGTTGGAGAGGGGAATGTGGAAAATGAGGACTTCGAGAGGGGTACGGAGAGAGGGATAGCGATTGGGGTTGGGGAATGGAGAGTTTGAGAGCAAGAGGGACAGAGAGAGGAAGAGGCAGGGAGAGAGGGAGAGACGAGATAGGAGAGTGAAGAGGAGTGTGGGAGGGAAGTTGGAGCATGAGAGGGGGAGATGAGAGCGAGGGAGGGGGTGAGAGCCGGTGAGAGGGTGAAAGAGGATGAGTGTTGGTGTGGCATCAAGGAACTGCGTGTTCTTACCTCCACAAAGAGTCGACAGCTGTGAGAAACTTAATCCTGGAGACATTGGCATCTCTCGTTCTTGGATCTCGAGTTTCGCATTCGAGTGGGAAGTGACAAAAAGGGCAGATAAACCGCATCCCTTTACATTCGCCAAAAACAAAGCATACGCATTTACTCTTCGACGCTGGAAAGATCAGGGAAAAGCTGGCTCTGTCTACATTGCATAACGTGGTACCCTGTATAAAACAGATTGGCTGCGCTTAAGCTGCGGCCTCAGGCTCAGGCACGTCCACTTGTGTGACCTTGAATTGCGCCAGGTGCTGGTCGCCTGGTAAGTGGAATGGCGGGTAGCACAAGGACAGAAGCACAGCACGTATCCCGGCATCAGAACCATCCAGTAACGAGGACGAAACCATTACGAGCAAAAGGATAAATACACGAGCTGACGTCTCACCAAAGATAACGACGCTTCCGACGGCCAAGGACGCGGAGTTCCCCGGTTTCAGCGGCGCAGCGTCGACGAATGTGCCGTTGGTGCTGTCGAGATCCGTGACCACGAGGACGTCCCCGCGGTTCTCCAGGCGTGCATGCACGCCAGACACTGAGTTGACACACAACAAATGCGAATCGATCACATAGAATCAGTGACCAGTATTATAAACTACTCCCACAACTGAACCAGTGACCGCAGTCGAAAGCATTGAGGAATTTGAAAGCACCGTGGGAACACGACGTATTTACCTGTGGGAACAGGAATGACGACATCCGCTCGCTCAGCCATTCTCCCGATCACAACAGCGTCCTGCCAGAAGCAAGGGAGCGTCAACGTTAGACGTTTGAGGGATCAGTACCATAATATACGAGCATGCAACCAGGATATTCGATGCCGCTGGACTTACTGTAGCAACGTCAATGGGCCCAGGCTTCGCAACCTCCATATCCAAGTGGGTAGTGTCTCCATCGCCTGGAGGACGTTGTACGCGATGTCAGCAACAAGGCATAACGAGGAAAGGAATGTATTGAGGTCAACAAGGGAGTACGTTTCGCTGGAACCATAAAACGAGCAGCATTGACCAGGGAGAAGTTGCTGATACGAGATTTCGAACGTACCGATGGGCTCCAGAACCCACTTCAGCGCTGCAACCGGCTGCACGGAACGGCGGCCAACTGCCTGAAGCGAGCGTCTGGTGGAAGGAACAAGACCGTAAGTGCTAGCGGTCGTGTTGAAGGAGCTGAGAGTTTGCAGCCTGGTCGAGGCAACAACCTTTGTAGCCACGCACGCAGACGAAGACGCAACAGCGGCCATTTTCAGTTCCAGGCAAGAGGAGAACTAAGATAGCGGCCTGAGGAGAGTTGAGGAAGCAGCCTGAGACGAGACGTTGGAAATGAATTCAAGCTGAGTTGGGATGTGGCCTGAAATTGTGAATTTCAAGCAGCCTGGTTGGGAGATGGAGATTCCTGATGATCTGCCTGTGTGAGCTGGACAGGATGCTGATGGATGCTGCTGTATCAGGCGGACAGTCAAATCAACAAGTCGGGATTCGGAAAGGTGGTGGAAAACCTCGGCTCTGAGGGCATTGCCTGACGTGGAGATTTGGCGGGAAGGACTTAACTGATGCTGATTTGGCGACCCCTTAGATAGGAAGGCCACGCTGGATGAAGATCTGACTAAAATCCGTGACACACTTGCGATTGCCCCTTTAGATGGAAGTTGCAACTCAGTTCACAACTCCTCAGTCGAAGGCAAATTTCCCTCTATTTGACATCTAAAAGAACCATGTAAACACAAGTTCTGTGTTCTTCATTGGTGCTCTTCTCACCCAACTACTTAATTTATCTTCGCATATATGTGGCAGATTATGGAATAATTCTTATGGGTATTCCAACCAAGTGGCAACCAAGATGTTCATCAATATGTGTTCATAAAGCGCTTTTTTGCCAAAATGTTTTAGACAATGATGACTTTTTTAAATGTATACATGTAAAACAAAGCTCATGCATGTAATCTCAGGGCTTACATCGCGGCACTGACGCATTTGCCTGCGGAGATCGATAAAAGGACATGCGTTGCACAGGTCTGCTGGCCTCTCAACGCGACGCGAATTTTCTGTTCCTGTCAAAGGCGTCACGGCGAGGTGTCAGGAGGCATCATTCGCGCGGTCAGGGGAGGCTGATACCACATCTGAGCCGTTCCGCTTCCCTTGGCTGTATTGTTTCCACCGCCCATGCTGGTTACCCTTTTTGCCGATGTGACATTGACGAGACTTGGCCAGTTTGACACCAGTCAAGGCTTCGACATAAGGTCCCTGCGTTTTCTGTCGCGTGGTGGTGGTGCCACAGCCTGCATAACAAGACTAGGGAGCAATTGATTCAGATGCCCGAGGCTCTGGCCCAGGTCTGCTCTGGTGGCCTGTCTGGAAACGGCCAAGCCGAACCGAGTCGACAAACCCAATGTTTTCCCCCCCTCACCTCGAGCCAGCCCTCCCTTTTCCTCCCCTCCCATAGCTAGTCCCCAATCCGAGCCCAACCCTTCTGTTCACTTCACTCCTCCCCTTCAGCCCAGCGGCAAGCGTTGCTCGCAACCATGAAGGTAAGGCAGTGCTTGCTTGTGAAAGGATCCACGAAAACTGACCAATGCCTTTGCTCGTCGCACCCCCCTCTTCGTTCCGTCGGCTCGATCCCTGCTACTGTACGAGGCACAGTAGCGCTTCACAGTGTTTGAGAAACTCACTCTCTGGTCTCTAGAGAATTCCGCCCGCACTACTCCTGGTCCTGGTGCCTGACCTGCCAATGAACTACCTCCCTCAGGCGCTCCCGGGATTCCGTCCGCCTTGTTCCATCGATCCGTATGTCGTAATGTTCGTCGTCCCCTTCCACAAAACGGACAGTGTATTCCTTCTTTCCCTTTATCCTCCTCCATAGGCATCTATGATCTAACGTCTTGTCCAGCTGCCAAATGGTCAGCCGGTAACTTTCGTGGCGCTTGGCACCATTCAGCTCATAAGACGCATCGCAACTGATAGGCTCGACGTTTACCGCACCAGGTCGACGGTGTTCTAAAGACCTTACTTCGAAATTAATCTTGCCATTGGCTTCCGCCGGAAGTAGGCACTGTGGGCATCACTCACCACCACCTAGGCAGGCAGACCAGCTCGTTCATAGCTCAGTACTTAATCAATGATTCGGCCCTCTCGTCCTCTGCGTCTCGGACCAGGATGGCCACGGTAGAGGCACCACCTTACACTTCGAGCTCCCCGTAGATCTCGCCCGATTTCGCCATGGCACTTCGCCACGTTCGTTCTCCACGCGCGTTACTCCCGTACACTCTCCTCCTCGTACTCTTCTCGTCGTCGCTCCCTCCCTTTACTGGGCCGAGCTCATGGGTACCATTAGGAGGAGGAGTTGGAATAAGGGCCAGCGTTGCAACGCGTCTAGGCCTAGCAGAAGCAGCAGCAGCGCCAAAGGCGGCGTCAGCAGCAAAATCAGCAGCAGCAAAATCAGCAGCAGCAAAAACAGCAGCAGCATCAGAATCAGCAGCAGCAGCAGCTGCAGCGGCGCAAGGGATACTAGCATCGGACGCGCTAGAGCTACTGGGTTTGCGATTGGTGGAGGCCCTCGCTGACGGCCACCCAGGATGCATCGCCGACCCGTACGAACCGCCCCTCCCTGATTTAGCCACACACCCCCTCCCCCCCTTCCCCCCCCCCTCTTTCCCCCCTCCCCCCCTCTCCCGCATTCCCCACTCTGTTGTGCTTTTCAACTTCTGTTCTCGTTGTCTTCTCCTTAATAGCGCTTTCTCATCCTAGTAAATTGTCTCTTTAACGATGATAAGTGAATCCACCTTGTAGGGAGTCCTTCATTGTCCCGCGCACAGCGATCCAATGCCGCGCCGTGCTATAAGCGCTTATAAACCTTTACCGGTGAACGTGGCCTCTGGTTATGGCTGCTCGGGCCTCAGGCATCTGGACCGTGTGGCAAACTAATCGCTTCGCCTCGTCCATGCCGCATTGCTCATCTGCACCCTTTCCCTTCCCCGCTTTCCCCCCACGCCCTTCCTCACCACCCCCCCACTTCCCCGTTCCGCCCTCCTTCCCCCCCCCCCCCCCCCCCCCAACTCCCCCCGTTCACCTCCATCCGATTCGTCGGTTGCAGGGCGGCGGAGGCGCAGCGCACCTTCCCCGTGCGCTCCCCAAATTCCTTCGCGAGGGTGGCGGCGTGCGAGAAGAAAGGTGCGCTACGAAAATTCAGCTCTCATTTTTTTTTGTTTCTTCGTCTTCTTTTCTGTCACCCGTGTTGCTCCCGGTTATTGGTTCGCTGTATGCTGGATCCCTGGTAGCCTAGGCTTTCCACCCCTCCAAAGCGCCACCTCCCCTCACCACCCCAACATTCTCAATTCCCCCCCACACGCGCTCGCAACTCCTTCCACCGCCCAACGCATCTCAACGCCTCGCTCCCCCTCCCCCGCCGCTCCCCCTCTCCCGCCACCCCCCGGCTCCCCCGCTCCACCGCTTCCGCCGTTCCGCCAGGCGACTTGCCTCGCCGAGTGTGCTCGTCTGGGGAGCTCGCGGCGTTCGTGCGATCGCTCAACGCACAGACAGGCGGGACCGATCCGTCGCAGGAAAGTACCAGCACCAGCAGCGGCAGCAGCGGCGGCAGCGGCAGCGGCAAGGGTGGGACGAGGGAGGAGAGCAGCACGTGGGACGGTAGTATCGACGGTAGTCTTCTGGATCCGATCAATTGCAATGGCTCCTCACCGCTGCTGGGTTGCCTCCCAGGCTTTGCTAGTCCCGTCGCTACCCCTCCCCTAAATACCACCTCTCGTGTCGCATCCGCTGCATCTGCGCCTTCCGCTTTCCCCGCGGTCTCCGCTTCCGCCTCCGCGGAGTCGTTCTCTTCCCCCTTTGCGTGGATTTTCGTGCCCGGGTCCTCCGCGCTCGCCCGCCACCAGCTTCCGCCGGCACCCCTGCGCGAGGACCCGCCCTCCGCCTGCTGCGCGGGGTTCTTCTGCCCCGCGGGGCTTGCGTGCATGATACGTAAGACCTCATCGCACCTTCCCCGCGCTGTTCGCTCTCACTTCCTTGTTTCCCTCACTCCCCCACTCCTCCATCTCCCCTCTAATTGACCTCCGCTTTCCTATCTCTCCCTTCCCGCGTCCGCCCTCCCCACTCCACCACTCCCCGCTGTTCCCTCTCTTCCCCCCTTCCCCACCCCCCCCCCCCCCCCCAGCATGTCCCGCGGGGTCCTTTTGCCCGTCGCCCGTGACACCTCGAGGCTTCTCCTGCTCACCGTAAGGACCAACCATATGCCACGTGCCTTGCCTTGAACCATGCCTATGCCATCCCCACATCGTGCTTGTGCCGTGCCATGCCATGCCATGCTGTGTCGAAAACAAGTTGTCCGGGTTCCAGTTGGCCGCATGTCATAACGATGCGCTATGCATATCGTGCCACACGCCCTGCCTGTCTGCATGAGCCGCTCGCGGCGCCCTTCCTCTCTCAACGACAGCCCATCCTCCCCTCTTTCCTTTGCGTTCCCCCTGTCCCCCTTTTTCCCCCTGTCCCCCCTGTCCCCCTTGTCCCCCCTGTCCCCCTGTCCCCCTGTCCCCCTTGTCCCCCTGCCCCTTGTCCCCCCTGTCCCCCTTGTCCCCCCTGTCCGCCCTGTCCGCCCTGCCTCCCCCACCACTCCAGCTACGCCTACCCGCCCGTGCTGCACTCCACCACCAACATGAGCCGCCCGCAGTGCGGGGGAGCGGACCAGTGGGGCGCCCCAGCGCAGGCCACGGGCAGCAGCACCACCTATGGCTCGTTCAACGGCTCCTTCCTCCCGCTCTCGCCCTCCTCTGCCCCCTCCCTCTCCTCCTCATCTGCTCTCACCTTCTCGCCTGCTTCTTCTTCCTCTGCCGCTGCTGCTGCCGCCTCCTATTCGTCCTGGCTGCCTGTGCTCGCGTGTCCCGAGGGGTTCTTCTGCCCTGATGCTGGCACTATCAAGCCGTGCCCGCCCAGGTGAGCAACGGTGGGAGGAAGGTGCTCGTGGATGAAGGGAAAAGACACGTGAATGCGCGCACACACCCTTGGGCACACCCGTTCCCCCTCTCCTCCCCCCCCCCCCCCCCCCCTCCCTCTCCCCTTTTTTCCCCCTCTTCCCTCTTCCCCCCCAACCTTCCCCCTCGACTTTCCCCTTCCCGCATAGCCATGGAAACGTGCATCCGACTTTGCTTCTTTGTCTTCCCTCCGTCAGTCATTCTCATTCTGCTCTTGTTCCCTCCCTCCCCATCCCTTTCTGTCTTCCCTTATTCCCGTTTCCCGCTCCCGCCATCTCACCCCCTTCTCTCTGTGCGCCCCTCAACCCGCACGTGGGATGTGGAATGTGGCGCGGGACGTATGACACGTGGCATGCGCCAGCCACATCTGTCCAGCTGGCTCCACTGCTCCAAGCCGTGAGCGTCATTCATTGCTTTGTTCAGGCGCTGCATGCAGCCCCCTTTTTCCCCTCTCTCTTCTCCGCCCCTTTTCCTTCCCTCCCACATGCCTTCTCATCTCACCCTATTCTCAGCTCTCTTTATCCCACAGCTACGCTTTTCCACCTTCTCCTTTTCAGTTTCGCTGGCTGAGTTCTTTGCTTTGTCTCTGTCTGTTTCTCTCTGCACCGCTCTCCACCCCACCAGGCGTCACTAATGGCAGTCAGATGCAGTCATCCGATCAGTTCTTTCTCGCCCTCTGTCTCACGGTAAGAGCTCGTGTCAGATCTGCTGTTTCTCCATTTCATCTCTCTCCGTCCCACCACTTATTCCACCACTTATCCCCCTCGCTTATCCCCTCCACTTGTTTCCCACACTTGTCCCCTCCACTTATCCCTCCGTCCCCCGTCCTCCCCGCTGCCCCCTCTGCTCCCCACCTCTCCCCCCGTCTTCGCCCCCAGCTCTTGACGTTGGCCGTGGCGCTGCTCCTCCCCCCGTGCTTCCTCCTCTCAGTGCGCCCCCTTGAGCGGGCGCGCAGGGCAACGGCGGAGGCGCGTTCCCCCCACCGCCTGCTGCCCTCCCCCCGCTTCCATGGCAGGGGCATGGGGGGCAGGGGGGGCAGCCGTTGGTGGAGATGGTGGGGGGACTGGAGGGGGGGAAAAGGTGGAGGGAGACTGGGGGCAGTCGGAGGAGGAGGAGCGGTGGAAGGGAGGCGGTGTTGTGGTTCTAGTGGTGGTGGTGCGGGGGGAGTTGGCTCTGGTGGTGGGGCTGCGGTGGGTGCAGTGTGGTGGAGGCGGGTGGTGGCGCTGGTTGGTGCGCCTGTGAGGAGGGTGTGCGGGGCGAAGCTGGCGTTCCTGGGGTGCAGAGTTCATCATGCGTTCGTGGTGAGTGCCTTTCAACCCCCCTCCTCTTTCCTCTTCCTCTCACCAATCGCCTCCCTCTTTCCCTGCTCTTCTCTTCTGCCTCCTAGTTTCCCAACCCCCCCTCCTTCCCCACTTTCTTCCCCCCCTCCTCCCCATCCCCTTTTTCCTTACGCCCCCTCCCCCCCACCTCCCCACCCCCCTCCCCCCAGCCGCTGTCTCACCCCGACCTGTCGGAGTCCCGCGCGTCCTCCCGCACCTCCTCCTTCTCCTTCGCGCGCTGCCACCCCTCCTGCACCTCCCTCCACTCCACCCCCCCAGTCCACCGCACGCCCCCGCACTCCACCCTCCCCCCGCTCGCCAGCCAAGAGGGCGCGGGGAAGGGGGACGAGGGGGGAAGAACGGGGTCGGCGGAAGGGGAACGGCCGTGTGCGAGGAGCCAGGGGGGAAAAGGAGAGGCTGGAGGGGAGGGGAACGGGGTGCGAGGGGGAGAGGTAGTGTTGGGGGTGATGCAGGGGGAGTTGCTGGGGGTGGAGGGAGGGGGGGCAGTGGCAGTGGATATGGGCGGGTGTGGAGTGGAAGGGGCGGAGAGTGCGGAGGGAATGGTTGGGGAGGCAGGAGCGGTGGAGGCGGTGAGAGGAGGGGGGTTGCTGGGTCCAGTGGAGAGTGGCAGGGAGGTGCTGGTGGCGGGATTGGAGCAGCTGACAAGTCCCAACCCTGTCATTATGGGCGGCATGCCCACAAGTCTTAATCCCAACCCGGATGGGCATGGTGGCATGGATGTGGGCATGGATGTGGGCGTGGGCGTGGGCGTGGGCATGGGCATGGGTGCAGGTGTGCCGTATGGGTATGATCAAGGGCTGCTGGAAAGCGGAGGGGGAGGAGGTATAGCTGGGCAGCTGCAGCATCCACTGCAGCAACAGCAGCAGCAGCTGGGTCCAGGCATGGGCTTGGTAGCATCATCACCAGCGGCAACTTCTGTGGCTGCGGGTGGTACAGACTCGTTATTATTGGACTCGTTTGCATGTGCAGCGACACCTGCAGCAGCAGCAGCAGCAGCAGCAGCAGTAGCCAATCTGCCTGTCATAGGAGCAGTGTCCCCTTTCGCCCTCCCCACCACAACCCCATACCCTCACACCACCCCCCAGACCATCCCCAGTCAACCCAGCACCTTCCCCCTCCACACACCCGCCTCCGCCCCTCCCGCGCTTTCGTTTCCCTCCCCTGGGGGAAACATCCAGCCGCGCGGGGCGGAAGGCGGGCGATTGTTTGGGGAGCTCGGGGAAGGTCTGGGGCCGGATGGATCAGCAGCAGCAGCAGCAGCAGGAGCAGGCGCTGGTGCTGAGGCAAGTGAAGCAGCTGGCGCAGCGGGGGCAGAAGCGGGGGAAGGGGCAGGTACGTGGGCGCGCGGGGGAGGGTTAGGCGCGCACAGCCTCCCCCTCCGCTTCCCCGGATTAGAGGCCGCGTTCGCGTCCGCGTCCTCTGCGCCCAGCCCAGACGAGTTTCTCCGCCTGGTCGAGTTCCAGAACAACATGATGGGGACTTCCGCGCTGGACCTGCGCGCAGGCGCGGGCGGAAGCGGATGGGGGGGCGCCGGGGGCGGAGTAGCGGGTGACGGCGCTGGTGGACGCTACGGTGTTGGAGGCGGGAGGAGAGGCGGGGGAAACGGGGTGTTTGGGGCGGAGGAGGGGGGGGGGCGCGGGGAGGCGAGGGGAAGGGGGAGGGGTGGCGGGGGATGGGTGGAGGAGGCAGGGAGGAGAAGCGGGCCGTTGGGTGGGACGCAGGGGTGAGTGGGGGGGAAGATGACGGTTGGGATGCGAGCGGGACGAGGAAAGGGCGGAGGTGGAAGGGGGGGAGCGGGATTGGGGAGGGTGAGGAGCGGGGGAGGAGAGTGGCGTGCCTGCAGAGCGCGTATGCGCAGCTGGAGGCGGAGAAGAGGCGGGGCGCGGGGGAGGAGCGGAGCCGGGGTCCCTGGAGGAGCTCTTCAATGAGGCGGTCAGCTGTGGGGCCAGTGGACTGCTGCAGGTGAGCCCCCGCCCCTGCTCTCCCTGCAATATGCTGTCTTATCCTCCCCCTCCCCTTCCCCTTCCCCTTCCCCCACCCCCGTCCCTCACACCGTCCGTCAGCCTTTCTGCTTTGTCCCTTCCTCCTTTTATCCCGCCTCCCCTCGCTCCTGCCCTCCGTCCCTGTGCCCTGTTCGTTCCTTTATTTCTGCTGCTCCATTTGCCGCGTGTCCCACCTCCTTGCGCTTGTGTCCCATTCTTCCTTTCCGTCAAAACCCCCTACTCCCTGTCCTCACTTCCCCCGTGCCCCCACTCCCTTCTCTTCCCCCCCCCCCACCCTTCCCCTCGACCCCACACCCTCCCTAAATCCCCCCCCCCCTCCCTCCCGCTCCCCCAGGGCCAAATGCGGCGCATGCTGCGCGTTGACCTGGTCAACGTCTCCATCGCCATGCCCGCCTCCCTGCCCTCCTCCCACTCCCCTCCTTCCCCCTCCTCCGCTTCCTCCTCCGACTCTACCCGCTCTGCGCCCCACCGCGCCACCCCTCTGGCCGTGACCTGTCTGCATGCGAAGCTGCACCCGGGGCGGATCACGTCCGTGCTGGGACCCACGGCAGGGAGGAGTGCGCTGCTTGAGGTGCTCTCAGGTGAGGCCACTGGGAGGGGGGAGGTAAGCGTAAGTGTTAGTGTTAGCAGATCCTTGGACATCTTCCAGTGAGCGCAGGGACTCTGGGGATGGGTGTATGTAGGGGGAGGAGATGGCAGAAAGGACGAACTGAGGACGGCCTTGTGTCTCTTGAGGCGCCTCAAAAGTCGTCTCTTTATCCGCGGTTTTGAGGCGCCTCAAAAGTCGTCTCTGGGGATGGGCGTATGTAGGGGGAGGAGATGGCAGAAAGGACGAACTGAGGATGGCCTTGTGTCTCGCTATGCGGAGAGGCTTGGGACTTTGCACAGGCGCTTGCAGGTGTGGATTCCGTGAGCCTATCCTTGCAGGTGCTTGCATTTCTGGCTTGCATTGTTTCACACGTCAACCCCACTGCGTGTGCTTCCACCCTGATATTATCTCCCTGCCATGCTCCGTAATTCTCTACTCTTGTCCGTGTCCCGTGTGTCCCGACTCCTCAGGCCAACCGAGCAGCAGTGTGGTTGTGGAGGGGCACATAGCAGTGGACGGGGCGCCATTGTCTCACACGGCACCCCCACTGCTCTCCCCCCGGCCCTGATATTCCCTCTCCCTGCCATGCTCCCTGCTTCTCTACTCCTGTCTGCTCGTGTCTGCAGGCCAACCCAGCAGCAGTGTGGTGGTGGGGGGCCACATAGCAGTGGAGGGGGCGCCAGCAGCCATGGCGTCGTACCGCCCACTCATAGGCTATATGGCTGCGGGCTCGGCCCTGCCGTGCCCCTTCCTCACTGTCGACGAGTACCTCACCCTGCACGCCCACATGCGGTCAGTGCCCCTTTTGTGAGGACTCAAACATCACCAGGCCACTCCATAGCCAGCTTTTTATTTGACTCAAAAGTCATCTCACATGCAGCCAGTGTCCCACATGCTGTCAGTGCCCCACATGCGGCCAGTGCCCCACATGCGGCCAGTGCCCCACATGCGGCCAGTGCCCCGCATGCGGTCAGTGCCCCACATGCAGTCAGTGCCCCACATGCAGTCAGTGCTCCACATGCAGTCAGTGCCCCACATGCAGCAGGTCATAGCAATCAGGATGATGTGAGTGTCTGTTTCATGTCACACTTCTAGTAGTTGGTACTTTACTCTTTTCCAAGTCACATAAACGTAAATTTACTCGAAGTTTACCTTGACGTGTTTTGACTCGTAAATTTACGTAATTATGGACGGGTAGCAGAAAAAAAATATTTCAGGGGCAGCAGAAAAAGGGAAGATTGACTTTGACCAGGGCGCAGTCATGTATATGGTATGCTTGCGCACTGTGGCTCACAAAGGCAACTTTTGTGTTGAAACAAAGCCAATATGGGTGGTGAGTCTAGTGATTTATACCTCTCTGCTTTGTGCATACCCAAAGCATTATGAGATTCCCCTATGCCTGGGCAGCGTGGAAACATTTTATGCTGACCA